TGTCTAAACGTCTCCTTTGGTGAAGTTTCTGTTCATATTCTTTGCCCACTTTTTAATTGGATTGTTTGTCTTTTTGTTGTTGATGTGTTGAAGTTTTCTATAAATTTTAGAGATTAGACCCTTGACAGGTATGTTGAAGCCAAAATTGTTTTCCCTGTCTGTAGGTTCTCTTTTCACTGTTTTGGAGAAATCTTTTGATGAGCATGAGTGTTTAACGTTAAGGAGGTCCCATTTATGTCATTCATCTTCTTCTGTTTCTGTAGTTTTAGTTATTGTCTCAGTTTTTTATTGTTTTAATGAATGATATTACCTCCACTCAATGGTTAATGTTAACAAGACTAACAAAGGTCTATTATTGAAGAATAAACTTAAATATACCTTATTTTATTATGAAAGTATCATATGTGGTATTGATAAATAAAAATTAAATTATTAATGCAAGTAATAAAATTATTGCCAATCTTATTTACCTCATTACCTTGTTTTTCATATAGATATTTTTAATTTAAGTGGTCTTATTAGGAATTTTCACAGCATGCATAGATTTTGCACCCTGAAAATGTAGGCACACATGCACTATCTGCAGGTTGTTCATCTATCCTTGACCTTCCCTTAATGTAAATTTACCACTTATTAAAATGTATTTTGTAAAAGCAGATCTGACTGCAAAATCACATCTTGGCACATGAGGACTAGTCTATTCCTTTAAAATCACGATGTTAGTGCATTGAAGTGACATTGTCAGAGGGATGACTTTGAATCTGTCCTAATTAATAGAAAATATAAATTATTCCAAAGATTCTTTTTATTCGGACTAAACACATTTCAAATGTTCAATAGCCACATACAGATAAAAGCTGCCATATTGGACATCTTCAGTCTTGGGAATTAGGGGCTGGATTTAACCAGTTGGCTGAGGTGTGGGGCCAGAATTCTCCCTGAAGAAGGTCACTGCACAACTTTCCTTGACATGATGTTGTTTGCAATATAGGTAGCTTCTCAGGGGAAAATAATGATCGTTTTAGAATGAATTCATCAGAAAAGTAGCAGATTATGCCTACTATGGTGCTCCAACCACTTTAGCCAGAAAATACCCCAGATGCTTTCAGCAGAATTGACCTTATTACAGAAGCCAAGGTCCTGTGTTAGTCGGGTTGTGGGTAAGTCTGGAAAGATTACATCAAACCAAGCATCACTGGGCCTCTCTTAGACTACCAACCAATATTCATTCCCTCAATTTGATTATCTTTAAAAATATAAATATCAATGAGAAAAAGATGTCATATATTTATGATATTCTATTCCTATTAGAATGTTGTTCTTGTTAGTTGCTGCCGACTTGGCTTTCCCTCATGGCAATCTTATGTATAACAGAATGAAACAGTGCCCAGTCCTGAGACATCTTCATGATCATTGGCATGTTTGAGTCCATTATTGTGACCATTGTATAGTGCCTTCCATCCCAGGGGACTCATCTTCCAGGACATATCAGACAATTTTCTGATGTGATCCATAAGGTTTTCACTGGTTAGTTTTTGGAGTCGATTACCAAGACTTTCTTGCTAGTCTCCAATAGTCTGGAAACTCCACTGAAACCTGCCCACTATGGGTGACACTGCTGGTGGTTGAAATACCCATGGGATAGCTCCCAGCATCATAGCAGCGTGCAAGCCTCCATAGTATGACAAACTGACAGACAGGTGGTGGTACATTATAGTAAGCACTGTTCATTCAATTTTGTAGTATTTAACCTTTGCAGATTCTCTTTGAATTTGCGAAGAGCCACACCATTGTGAATAGAGAAAGTAGAGAAAATTTATTGTGTAGTATCTGCCAAAAATGACATATTCTTCTCACATTTGCTTCTTTTCTGTCTTCATTTTGCTACAACAATATACAAGCATTTTAATTAAGAGTTCAAGGATTTTCTTTTCCTTAAAAGGGAAAAGAATAAACAACAAATCTTGAGTGTAGACCAGACATTGTAGTGAAAGGTAGGAGTTTCTGGTGCACATGTCCACCTCTCTGATAGGCCAACTCTAATCTGATATCTTTAGGGCAAATAGTCAAACCCCAGAGTTGTTATAATAAATCCCCTCATAAATTCGATTTACAAGTCAAACTTTCTTGTGGTGAATCGTCAACATTCTATTTGTATTCTGCTTCCTTCTCTTGATTTAGGAACCCAAGTACTGGAAATAGCGGTTCTTTTGTGTGAAATATTTACTAATTTGCAGTGCTCATCTGAAGTCAATGCTTCCCAGAACAGAAAGTGAAACAAACATACAAACATATTGCCAACAGGAATAACATCACATTAACTCTAAAAGTAATATAAATCTTTTATATATTGGGAAAGTACTAGGACCAGAGAATTGTCAAAAAACGGAAACATTATATATCATTCATGTATGAAATTCTTCTCATCTGTTGTTGACATTACCTATGTATTGTGAAGCAGCACCTGCTCTTGAAGACCATTCCTACTTGGTGGTCACTATTTCTGTGGAACAGGATGGTGGCCTGTAATATATATTCCTCCGCTTTTTCGTTTTCCCAGACTGGCTTTTTACTCCCTTCTTTTAATGCTCCCAGCTCTTTTTGGTAAGTGGTGGTTTAGTAATTTTATATTAACTTTATTGAGTTATAATTTATACTCAAATGCCCACATTTAAAGTCTTTTGTTCCGTGAATTCTTAAAAAATCAGCTTTAATTTGGAATTAGTTACACACAATAAAGTTTACAATTTTACATCTGTATTTCAATGAGTTTGATAAATGGCTGGTTACTTAACTACCAACGTTATCACGGTCTAGAATATTTCAATTACACCTAAAATTTCCCTTATACCATTCTTAATATTAAATAGTATTTTCAACTATTGGACAAGAAATAGTCTTTGCCAAGCATGAAAGCAGTAAGGGGAGGATAGTGGGACGTTCTATTTTTAACAGTTAAAATATCAAATAGGCCTCCTTCAGATAGTCTCCACAGTAGAGTAAATCACTGAGGATCCTAATATAATTATTTATTTTCTAATATTATTATTCAAAAAACAATTACTACATTTCTGGAAGGAGAATTACCTGAAAATGATTGAAAAAGTCAGAATTTTTAGTTTGAGGTCAATCTCCAAACAAATACATAACCTTGAAGTTCTAAGGGGAAAGAATTAAAAGAATGGGACAAGAAACGTTCCTGGGATCGATTCTCAGATGCTTCTTTCCACCCTCCATGAGTCTCTGAGGCTGTATGGAAATGGAACCAGAAACAAGCAGAGCATTTGACTGCTGCATGATAAAATTCAAATAATAGAGTCAGGCTCCCTTAAGGAGAAAGTAGGTATTTCTGCTCTTAAATTAAATATTTCTCTGCAGAGGGGCTTGATGACCAGTTAAATATTTTAGGAGATCTAGGTTCAGAGCAGGTCTAAACTCCTAGGCTAAGCACTGCTCTTGAATATAATTAAAATAGTAGCTAACACATAAAATATAAGGCATAACTAGAAAGCTCTTTAGAAGTGATGGAGAATGATGAGACTTTGTCAAGCTCACTTGGACACATCATTAGGAACAACCAATGGCTAGAAAAGGACATTATGTCTGGTAAAGTAGAGGGTCAGTGAAAACGTGGAAAATCCTCCATGAGTTGGATTGACAAGTGGTTGCATAAATGAAGTCAAACATACCAAAACTGTGAGGATGTCACTAGGCTTGGGATTTTTTTGTCATGTTATATGTAAGGACATCATGAGTTGGAGCTTCAAACCCAGGGAGTCTGGCATCCAAACCAGTGGTGTTAGGCATGAAAAAATGCCACTGATCACTCAAGACATCACTCCCACTCTCCATCTCCGTGGGAATCCTTGCACCATTTAAAACCTTCCAGTTTCATACTGACATAACCAGATGTTGAATTAAAGCTCTCCCAGACTATTCCTCTTATGCCTTTCTCTCTTTCCTGTGCAGATGTTGCATTCTTAACTCTACTACAAGATATTCCAACACAGGAAAGCTATGGTAACTTCTTATCTCTCTAGGAGGTCAGCAGAGTTTGGGCATCTCAGAATATGTTTATGGTGGTGATGACATTGAAAAATGGATGATGATGGTGGTGGTGATGAAGATTAGGATGAGAGAGCAATAGCAGTGCCAGTTCTGCAATGAGAGAATTACAGGGACCAGGAGCGTGAAACCGAGATCAGAGGTTCAATGCTTGGGTTTCTGCACAGAGTTGTTGCACTGACTGGAATCTGGGCTTTCATTTTCTCCTGTCATTCTATGTATGCTGTCTTGGAGTCCTACCCGAAGACCCAGCAAGAGGCAAGGAAGCAAAGACAAGGTAACTATTCAATAGGGGATGAGTTTCTCAGCATCTCTCACTCTCACTCTGGGCTGCCTCCTTTGGTGGTTTTTGCAGACCATAAACCCAGGGTTTCTACCCTAGCAGGTATGGTCGGGGGGAAGCCACTAGCAGGCATCTTTCCTCCCTCACCCATTTGACCTTTTCTATAAGAATGTCCCCATAGTCTCAGAAGGTGGGGTAGATGGCGGCACCTACACTTTAAGGTAGAGATTTTATCGGGTAGCCCCAGGGGCCAAGATCCAATACTGATGTTTCTCAGTCTTGCACCAGGGGGGAGGGGTCTGGGGTGAGGGGAACGCGATTGCAGTAGAAATAGCCCAAACTGTGGAAACTGTTTCGCACAAGACACAATGGCCCGAGCTCTTAGGTGGTTGCTGCTGTCTCTGCTTCTGTTGCTTGTCTGTTCCTGTGCACAGAGTTTCCTCAAGAGATGGACTCGGGGTGATCCATCGAGCACAGCGAAGCACCATAGGAGTCTCTGGTTCAAGCAAAAGCTCAATCATTTCAGCAAAAATAGATCACAATTCTGGCTACAGGTAAAATCTAATGACCAGGCAGGTAATGACAGGAGTGGGATGGTGTGAGCTTGAGGCACTGAGGAGGGTGTCACTGAGGTCTGGGAGGTAGAGGAGACATGGGGAGTGTTTTCAATCCCTGGAAGGTATGCAGTTCAAACCCACCCACAAGCACCTTGGAGGAAAGCCTTGACAATGTGCTTCTGACAGGTCACAGCCTTGAAAATCCTATGCAGCACAGTTCTCTTCTGAAATTTATGGACACACCATGAGTCAGAATAGACTATGTGGCTTCTGGTTTCTTTTTTTTTTTTTTATCTGTACTAGGCATTGTGCTAAGTACTTTATATCACCTTGCACTTTTTAGTATTTTTTTTTGTTTTCATTATGAAATATTTTCAATGTATATGGATAGAGAGAGACAACCCTATGTGTGCCTGTTGAGGTTAACTACTGGAAGTATTTTATCATAGTTATTCCCATCTCTTCAATGATTATTTTTATACGTGGGCCTTGAAAGACTTGCTTGGGGGTACTTGGCCAAAGCCCAAATACTATCAGATGAGTAAGCTAGCAGAAACCCAGAGAGGGCTGCTACGAAGATGAATTCTGATATGTTTCTTGTTTTATTTTATTTTATTTATTTTGGGCATTAAAGAACAGAAATATATTTTCTTACAGTTCTGGAGGCTGAACATCTAGATCAGGTTCTCGGCCATGTCAATTCCTTCTGTGAGCCTCTCTCTTAGTTTTTGGTGTCTGCTGGCAATCCTTGGCATTCCTTGATATTCTTTGGCATTCCTTGGGGTTGTCTTCTTCCCTGTATGTGTGTCTCTATGTCTATTCTGCTCTTTTTACAACTTAGAAGTGATTAGGTGGAGGGCCTACCCTACACCTCCCTTGGTATGACCTCATTAGCATAACAAAAGAAAGTCCTGCTTTCCAAAAACAACACTGGTGGCACAGTGGTTAAGAGCTATGGCTGCTAACCAAAAGGTCGGCAGTTTGAATCCGTGAGCCACTCCTGGGAAACCCTAGGGGGCAGTTCTACTCTGTCCTATAGGGTCTCTATCAATCAGAATGGAATCGACAGTAATGGGTTTTTTTTTTTCAGTGGGGTGCATATTTTGGGGAACACAATTCAATCCATCACAATTTCTAAGACAACTCCATAGTGTAGGAAGGGCAAGTATTACAATTCCTGGGAGCAAACTGAGATTACAAAGAGGCTAAAAGTTTTGCCCAAGGACTGTCTATAGCAAATAAGTAAAAGGACTGAGTTTAGAATCCTGGTTATTTGACTCTTTACCCAATGTTCTTTCCACTCTGTCCAAACAGAGAATTTCTAAAACGTTTGCTCTATTTGGATATCAGATAGTGAAGAGCTTTCAGATCCTTGTTAAGGAATTTTGACCTCGTCCAGGAAACAATGTGGAGCAACTGAAAGGTTTTGTTCAAAGGACATGACATCTTTAAGTCACTGCCTGAGGGACACAGACCTGGCTGCTGTAGGGTGTGTTAGTGGAATAGACATCTCGAGAGGAGGGAGGGTAGATCACTTACCATACCTTCAAACCTGGACTCGGTTTAGATAAATAATCTTGGTTTATTTTTAATTCATGTTTCTTGCTCTTGTTCATCCTTATATCAGTTTTAATATTTGTTTATAGTTTTCTTGTTAAAAGTAAATTCACTCAAATCTTACAGACATGAATAAAGCTCACAAGTTTTAAATTTTTTTTGTTTGCATGGATTTTTATCTTTTGTTTAACATTTTATCCAACTGAAACATAAGTTCTATGTAATTTTGTATTCTCGCTCCCAAACTATTGTTTTTCTTAGATGTCATCAAGTTCCAGCTCATAGCAACCCTATGTAAAACCGAACGAAACACTGCCCAGTCCTGCGCCATCCTTACAATCATTGTTATGCTTAAGCTCATTGTTGCAGCCACTGTGTCAACCCATCTCATTTTCACTGACCATCTACTTTACTAAGCATGATGTTGATCCCTCCTGACAACATGTCCAAAGTATGTGAGACACAGTCTCACCATTGTTGCCTCCAAGGGGCACTCTGGTTGTAGTTCTTCCAAGACAGATTTGTTTGTTCTTTTGGCAGTCCATGGTATATTCAATATTCTTCTCCAACACCACAATTCAAAGGCATCAGTTCTTCTTCAGTCTTTTTTATGTATCGTCCAACGCTCTCTTGCATAGGAGGCGATTGAAAATGCCTTGGCTTGGGTCAGGCTCACCTTAGTGTTCAAGGTGACATCTTTGCTTTTCCACACTTTAAAGAGGTCTTTTGCAGCAGATTTGTCCAATGCAATGCGTCTTTTGATTTCTTGACTGCTCCTTCATTGGGTGTTGATTGTGCATCCAAGTAAAATGAAATCCTTGACAACTTCAATCTTTTCTCCGCTTATCATGATGTTGCTTATTGGTTCAGTTGTGAGGATTTTTGTTTTCTTTATGTTGAGGTGCAATCCATACTGAAGGCTATGGTCTTTGATCCTCATCAGCAAGTACTTCAAGTCCTAGTTCTCCAAATATGAATGTACAACTTTAACTTCTGCTTTATCAACTTAATGGTAGTTTCTAGAGGGGCCTGAGCACCATTCAGGAGTCCTGGGTGTGGTGGCACAAATGGGTAAGCACTCAACTAATAGCTGAAAGGTTGGTGCTATGAACCCACGCAGAGGCACCTTGGAAAAACCTGGCAATCTGCTTCAGAAAGGTCACAGCCTTGGAACCCCTAAGAAGTAAAGTTCTACTCTGTATGTATGCAGTCGCCATGAGTCAGAATCGACTTGATGAACACTGGTTTGGTTTTTTGGTTTGAGAACATTTCACTGAGCTAACATGCCATCCTTCACTGAGCCATTTAGTTTTGAGGGAATATTTTCAGTTATTTTTTGTTTTGTTTGCTTTCCAGTTGCATAAATTTTCTATAAATTGGTTGCTAGAACTAGAGGGTTGATCCAATTCTGTTCATTTGTTTTTTGAGAGCATGGGAGGAAGACTACTTCACAGATAATGGCAAGTGGTTTCATGCAGAAATATGTAATGCCTGAAATGTCTTTTTTATGATTATTATTATGGTAGAAACTGTTGATGCCCAATGCCTAGATCCGTCAATTTTTTGAGGGCTTGCAAAGTGAAAGATTCTAACTTTATCATTCTTTATTGATTAGCTGGAATACATGTATAAAAGAGCCTTTCCATCTATTATTTGGTTACATGGTGACAAAATTTGTATTGGAAAGACAATATAAATGCTTGACTTACTCTCTTTCTTACCATATTTTAAAAGTACAGTAAGGATAACAGATTTAGAATATCACACAATCAATCGTTCCTTTTCTTTACCTTATCTTACACAGCAGTCTCAGAATAATACCAATACTGATATCAATATTATAATTACTGAAAGATCATTAAAACATTTCTTTGCCGTCTATTTGTCCATGAGGTTGATACTTCTAAAGATGTACATAAAGTTAAATTACTGGCTTTCCAACAGTCACTCCGAATTGTTTCTCTCTGTGTGGTTATGTGACCAAAAAGATATCATTTGTGTCTATTTATTTTATTATTTTTAAAAATAGGCTTGTAAAATTCAATTTTGTCTTATAATTACCTAAAAGATTTACACGGTTCCAAAGTCAAAACAACAAAGCAAGATATTGCAATAAACTCGATTTTGACTGGTAATATTATTATTCTTAACACTTCTCTCTATGACTTTATAAAAGATGAAACCCTTTGTCTGTTTTGTACTAAAACTTTCCACCTTTTCTCCTTTACTTTTCTACTTTTATTAGTGATTTTATAGCCTTATGATTCTTTTTTTACAATTTATTTTATATATTTTTTGTTGTTGAGAATATACACAGCTAAACATAGACCAAGTCTACAGTTTCTACATGTACAGTTCAGTAACATTGTTTCCATTCCTCCAGTTGTGCAATCATTCTCACCTTCCTCTTCTGAGCTATTCCTTCCCCCATTAAGATAACCTCACTGCCCACTAAGGTTCCTATGTAATCTTTTGAGTTACTGTGGTTAAACTATTCTTAGTCGCACTATTAGAATAGGAACATATGGAAAATAAATCAAATGTTCATCAGTAGACTGTTAGTTTAATTATTATGCTATATCCACACAAGAAAATACGAAGTAGCTGTAAAAGAGAGTGAAGAATATTTCAACATCTTTACATATTGCTATGTAATGACCTCCAAGATATGATACTATATGAAAACAGCAGTATGGCACTTAATCTAAGAAAAGGAGAAAAATGAAATATATATATATTTACAAAAAGTAAAGATAAATGCATTTAAAAAATTAGTCAAAATGGTTACTTATAATGAGATGGAGGTAAAAGTTTTAGGAAATAAAAATTATCTCAGTTTTCTTAGAATATACTTAGTTTTGCAGGTTGAGCTTTGTGGTTGTTGTTAGGTGCTGTCAAGGAGGTTCTGACTCATAGCAAACCTATGTACAGCATAATGAAACACTGCCTGATCCAGCTACATCCACATGATCTTTGTTATACTCGAGCCCGTTGTTGCAGCCACTGTGTCAGTGCATCTCATTGAGGATCTTCCTCTTTTTTGACGACCCTCTGTTTTACCAAGCATGATGTCATTCTCTAGGGACTGATTTCTCCTAATAACGTGTCCAAGTTATGTGAGACGAATTCTCACCATCCTTGCCTCCGAGGAGCATTCTGGCTGTATTTCTTCCAAGACAGATTTGTTTCTTCTTTTGGCAGTCCCTGGTAGAGTCAATATTCTACATCAACACCATACTTCAAAGACATCATTTCTTCTCCAGTCTCCCTTATTCATTGTTCGCCTTTTGCATGCATATGAGGAAACTGAAAACACCATGGCTTGGGTCAGGCACACCTTAGTCGTTGAAGTGACAACTTTACTTTTTTAGCACTTTGAAGGCATCTTTTGCAGCAGATTTGCCAATGCAATACGTCATTTGATTTATTGATTGCTACTTCCAAGGATGTTGATTGTGGATCCAAGTAAAATGAAATCCTTGACAACTTCAATTTTTTCTTCTTTTATCATGATGTTGCTTATTGGTCCTGTTGTGAGGATTTATGTCTTCTTTCTGTTGAGGTGTCATCCATACTGAAGGCTGTGGTCTTTGGTCTTCATCAGTAAGTGCTTCAAGACCTCTTCACCTTCAGCAAGTAAGGTTGTGTCATCTGCATATCACAGGTTGTTAATGAGTCTTCCTCCAATCCTGATGCTCCATCCTACTTCATACAGTCCAGTTTCTAGGATTATTTGCTCAGCATACAGATTGAATAGGTATGGTGAAAGGATACAACCATGACACACACATTTCCTGACTTAAATCACTCAGTATCCCCTTGTTCTGTTCAAATGACTGCCTCTTGATCTATGTACAGGTTCCTCATGAGCACAATTAAGTGTTCTGGAATTCTCTTTCTTTGAAATGTTAACCGTACTTTGTTATGATACATACAGTTGAATGTCTTTGTATAGTCAATAAAACACAGGTAAACATCTTCCTGGTATTTCCTGTTTTCAGCCATGATCCATCTGACATCATCGATGATATCCTTCTTTCCACCTCCTCTTCTGAAATCGGCTCGAAATTCTGGCAGTTCCCTGTTGATGTGATGCTGCAACTGGGTTTGAATGATCTTCAGCAAAATTTGACTTGCATATAATATTAATGGTATTGTTCAATAATTTCCCTATTCCATTGTATCACCTTTCTTTGGAATAAGCAGAAATATGGATCTCTTCCAGTTGGTTGGCTACATAGCTGTCTTCCAAACTTCTTCGCTTAGATGAGTGAGTACTTCAAGCACGTCGTCCGTTTGTTGAAACACTTAAATTGGTATTCTGTCAATTCCTGGAGCCTTGTTTTTCTCCAATTCCTTCAGTACAGCTTGGACGTCTTCCTTCAGTACCATTGGTTCTTGATCATATGCTACCTCCTGAAATGATTAAATGTCAATCAATTCTTTTCGGTACAGTGACTCGTGTATTCCTTCCATCTTCTTTTGATGCTTCCTGCGTCTTTCAGGCTTTTACCCGTAGATTCTTTCACTATTGCACCTCAAGGCTTGCATTTTTCATCAGTTGTTTCAGCTTGAGAAATGCCAAGCGTGTTCTTCCCTTTTGGTTTTCTAACTCCAGGTCTTTGCACATGGCATTACAGTAATTTACTTTGTCTTCTTGTGCTGCCCTTTGGAATCTTCTGTTCATGTCTTTTACTTCATCATTTCTTCCATTTGCTTTAGCTACTCTACAGTCAAGAGAAAGTTTCAAAGTCTCTTCTGACATTGATTCTGGTCTTTTCTTTCTTTCCTGTCTTTTTAACGACCTCTTGCTTTCTTCATGCATGATGTCCTTGATGTCGTTCCACAACTTGTCTGGTCTTCAGTCATTAGTGTTCAAAGTGTCAAATGTATTTTTGAAATGGTCTCTAAATTCAGGTAGGGTAATATCAAGGTCATACTTTGGTTCTTGTAGACTTGTTCTAATTTTCTTCAACTTCAACTTCAACTTATATGTGAGCAACTTATGGTCTGTTACACAGTCAGTCCCTGGCTTTGTTCTGACTGATGATGTTGAGTTTCTCCATCATCTCTTTCCATAGATATAGTGGTTATGATTCAGTGTATTCCATCTGATGAGGTCCACAGGTATAGTCACCGTTTATATTGTTGACAAAAGGTATTTGCAATGAAGAAGTCGCTGGTCTTGCAAAATTATATCATGCGAGCTCAGGCATGATTTCTATCACCATAGCCATATTTTCCAAATACTGATCCTTCTTCTTTGACTCCACCTTTTGCATTTCAATCACCAGTAATTATCAATGCATCCTGATTGCATGTTTGATCAATTACAGACTGCAGAAGTTAGTAAAAATCTTCAATTTCTTCATCTTTGGCCTTAGTGGTTGGTGAGTAAATTTGAATAATAGTTGTATTTACTGGTCTTCCTTGTAGGCATGCGGACATTATCTTATCACTGACAGCATTGTACTTCAGGATAAATCTTGAAATGTTCTTTTTGATGATGATTGGAATGCCATTTCTCTTCAATTTGTCATTCCTTATATAGTAGTTCACGTGACTGTCTTATTCAAAATGGCCAATACCAGTCCATTTCAGCTCACTAATGCCTAGGATAGCTATGTTTATATCTTCCATTTCATTTTTGATGATTTCCAATTTTCCTCAATTCATACTTTGTACATTCTATCTTCTGATGATTAATGGATATTTGCAGCTATTTATTCTCATTTTGAGTCCTGCCACATCAGCAAAGAATGGCCTGAAAGTTTGACTCCGTTCATGTCATTCAGACTGACTCTACTTTCAGGAGGCAGCTCTTCTCCAGTCATTTCTTGAGTACCTTCCAAACTGAGAGGCTCATCTTCCAGCACTCAATAAGACAATGTTCCGCTGCTATTCATAAAGTTTTTACTGGTTAATTTTTTTCAGAAGTAGACCATCAAATCCTTCTTCCTGGTCTGTCTTAATCTGGAAGTTCAGCTAAACCATGTCCATTATGGGTGACCCTGCTGTAATTTGAATATCAGTGGAATAGCTTCCAACATCACAGCAACATGTAAGTCCCCACAGGAGGACAAACTGACAGACGTGTGGCAGGAGGTGGTTAGCTTTGGCACCATGTGACTGTTTCCAATAAAACAATTAAAATTGAAAATAAAATGAAACAAATGAATCTAATTGTCTCTCAAGCCTGTGGCTTCACCAGAGAAAAATATTTCAAGTGAATAGAAAGCTCAGTACTTTGACTTTATATCTCTTGTGGGATAAATCCTGAGGACATACACACAACTGTAAAGAAATCAAAGTTTTCAATAATCATACTGTCAGTTTTAACATTATTGTTGTTGTTGTGTGCCACTGAGTCAATTCCAACTCATAGGAGAGAGTAGAACTGCCTCATAGGGTTTATTAGGCAGTAATCTTTACAGGAGCTCATCGCCAGGTCTTTTCTCCCTCGGTGCAGCTGCTGGGTTCCAACCACCAACCTTTCAGTTAACAGATGAGCACTTAAACATTGTACCACCCTGTCTCCTTTTAATATTGGTGTTGTTATTCTAATGCGTGAATATTACTACATATTGTTGGTATAAAGCAAATAATTAATTATGTTAATGTTGTTAGGAACCCAAATTTTCAGAGTGAAAGAAAATTGCCACAAATATATATTCAAGCAAGAATTTCATATTCTAAATTTGAATTTGAAATACTAGCATGAACTGTAAACAAATAATAGTGATGGTTGCACATTGTGAGTGTGATTTATGCCACTGGATTGTACACTTGAAAGTGATTGAGATGGCCAATTTTAAGTTGTCTATTTTACCACCAAAAACAAAAAATCAATTTGTCCAGTGTGTAGGCCGGGTGCCATCACAAATGTCACTCATTTAGATGGGACCTCAGAACCATAACTCAAATCTGACAAACCAAAATATGCTGCCACCCAGCTGTCAGAAACCACCAACAAATCACAAATCTTAGTGAGTTTAGTGAGCTACTAGAATATTTTTATTTTCACAGAGATATTTCCTTAATGATGCCTTCTACAAACCTGGAGGACCAGTATTTCTGATAACCAGTGGGGAGGGGGCTGCCACAGGAATTGCTGCATCAAGAAACATTACCTGGATGACATATGCTGAGAGGCTGGGTGCCCTCTTCTTAATTCTGGAACACAGATTTTACGGAGAGAGCCAACCAACAGGGTAAATTTAAGGGTTTCCTTTTTGGGGTTGTTCTCATTGCTGTTTCTGTTTTCTGTCTCTTTTTAATTTTGGCAATTAAATCTAAATATGTTCCTCTTGCAGGAAGCTGAATATTTGAAAATTCAAATGATAAGAAAGAAAAACTGTAGGTGGAGTTTTGGGGTAGAAGCGACTTTCTTGATTAAAAAAATTGGTATGAAATTTCCTTTGAGTAAAATGTATTCCTCATGTTCTATAATTTCATGTTGAAATTTTGTATTTTCGTGAACATGCTTAAACAAAATGTCATAATTATTATTTTTTTCTACCGCAGTAGAATTTTAAACCATGAAAATTACTCTTCCCATGGAAACTGGGGAGACTTTTTTGTTAAAACAACCCATCAAAGGTAACTGGATGTCATGTTAAATTTCAGCTTGCAGTGGCAGAGCAAGAAGCAAGAATATGAGATCTTTTTTGTCTCAATAGCTTATTCTTGCCGTTTACTATTTTTAAACTTTCCCCAGTGGAAATATATATTTTTAGCTTACTTGCTTACAAACTGTTCATTATATGAAGTCAAGGAAATAGAAAGAAATTTACAAAGTACCTCTGACGATCATGATAAATTCAATTTAATGTCAAGGTATCTTATTCTCATTAAAATAAAAAGTAAGGATTGATTTTTACAACCCTGAGAATGTGATTAGTGTTCGTGAAATGATACCTTTTTTATATGAGTCATAATTCTTGGTACTGTTTATCATGACACACTAATAATTGCTGGAAGTTTCACCTGCTTCTTTCTTGCTGTGACTCCACAAGTCTGAGTTTTGAATTCCAAGTCTCTTAACTTTTGGTAGTAAGGTGACACTCCAATAGCTCCACCACTTCTACATTTATTAGAAACTTTGATTCGGGTGTGTGTGTGTGTGTCTGTGTGTGCGTCTGTGTGTGTTGATGATATTATGATAGCCTATGAATAGTTGTAAGTCTGAGATTTCTTTATTAAGCTCTCTAAGGAAGTAAACCACAGTTCAAAAATGGAATAACCTGTGTTGTAGAAAATAATTTGTTATTCAAGTTAACTTCTTGTGATGCATCTCAGAAAGAGGGTGTTAGAAAGAACCTACAGTAGAATTTGGTCTTTGATTGAGTAAATTGAGGGAGAATCTAAGGATAGGAGAATTTACTCTAGAATTTTCTGTTAGAGAGTAGGGGAATTCTATGACTGAGTGTTTCAATAAATCTTATCTATACTTTTCCAGTTACATCCTATTGGCTTGAACTTAATAAGCAACTTCACATCTGGCTTGAAGGGTGGCTGGGACATATAGTGTTTTTCTGGGCCCAGCTAAAAGACAGGGCTTTAATTACCTAAATCTGAAACCAAACGAAACAAAACAAAATCCTTTGCTGTCAAGTTGATTCCCACTCACAGCAACCCTATAGAACAGAGTAGAACTGCCTTATAGGGTTTCCAAGGATTGGTTGTTGGATTTGAACTACCAACCTTTTGGTTAGCAGCCAAGCTCTTATCCACTGTGCCACCAGGGCTTCCTAAAGCTGAAAAGGAGAGTGAATATTAGGGAGAAAGGCTCTTCTGTAGCTTCTCAGTAGTATAATTGCTGAACAAAGGTTAACGTTTTGCCTCTTGAAGCCCTTATTATATGAGGACAAATTGTTTTCAGATCGATTCTACAACTTGATACTTCCACAAGTGGTACAAGAGAGAGCCTGACTCATCACATCCATGCCAACCCTGAATACTAAAATAAATCTTACCAGTTTGATAGGAGGGAAAAATACTCATATGGTATTACTTTGACAATAGAAAGGGCTAAACAGTTTCACATATTTGCTGGTCATTTCTGTTTTTTCTTTGTGAATAATCTGTCCTTGCCTACTTTTAAATTCGTAATCAGCTACTGACAGCATCCTGTAGGGGCAGGGAGATTTTTTTTTTTTTTTTGGTAATGAAGATTAAAGACATCCTAGGTTTACAGAATACCTTATCGTGGAGAAACACCATTGAAAAGTAAACAACAAATTTTACTTTTCTTATAATGAGAAACTTAGATTCAAATAGGCCTCTGTCTGGTTGTAGCAGCAAACCAGAAAGAATGGAAAATAGCATCAGTACAATTAACTAGGTTTTTGTAATGCCTTGGAAACAATGAAATCACTGACATTTTAGCCCTTTTAAAAATGACTCTTCTTTGAATCAGGGTAATAGTGTGATAGCTGTGCTTCACTTCAGTGTGTGGAGAAAGGTCACCATATGGGTGATGACAAGCATTTCAAGCTTCTTCACAGTGGTGACAAGAGGAAATGACATAATTAAAACGAGACAATTCTAACAATTATTGCTAGCTCCTGCTTTTAAGTGTCACTGTAACTCAGATTATTCCAATTGAAATTTCAAGTTGGACCTGGTATAAATACTCAACATGTTTTCAAAACATACATTTTTACTTTATAGTCAAGCTGATGTTAAGCAGCATATTTTCTACTTTAATTATTGCCACAAACAGCATGTATTTATCCTTTAATTATAGAGATCTGAGTACTGCCAGCCTCCACTACCTCAGCAGCAGGCAAGCCTTGGCTGACATCGTCAACTTCCGAACTGAAATAGCAAGGAAACTGGGACTCACAGAAAATAAATGGGTTACATTTGGCGGCTCTTATGGTGGTTCCCTTGCAGTGTGGTCGAGAATAAAACACCCCAACCTGTTTGCTGCAGCTGTGAGCAGCAGTGCACCAATTCAAGCAAAACTTAATTTTTATGGTGAGTATTATCTATATATGGGGGACCCTGGATGTGGCAAAAGGTTAATGTCCTCAGCTGATAACTGAAATGCTGGAGGTGCAAGTTCACCCAGAGGCACCTTGGAAGAAATCTGGCTCTCTGCTTCCGAAAATCAGCCATTGAGACCCCTATGGACAACAGTTCTACTCGGACACACATGAAGTCATCATGAGTTGGAATCAGCTTCACAGCAACTGGTTTGGTTTTTATGATATATATACATATATATGTACATATGTAGTGTTTATATACATATATATAAAATAAGAATAGTATCTGTATGTAAGTAATTACCATAACAAGATCTAAGTCTATCTCCCTCCCCATATGATAGGGTTCCAAGAAAGATATTTATGTTACCCACAGTTGGTACTTGGTATCCATATTTACAGCCATATGATGGGTGATAGCTTCTCAAAAGGTGGAAATGATGTGACAAGTCTTAGCTGTTGATTTGATAGTAGAAGAATTCATCATATAGGTATTTCCAAAGAAGTAAAGGACAAGCTCTTATTTTTGAAGGAAAAAATTTACTACTTTGAAGTTGCCTTTCAATTTTCCTTCCTATTACCTGACTTTATGATAAACCATTTGTAATTAATGGCCTTAGGATTTTTCCCAGTAGACAAACACTTGTGATTGGCAATTTGGGCCTCTGAATACATATTTCCATTAAAATGCTTAAAGTATAAAATTTTTACTTCATTAAGTTTTTCTTGTAAAAACAAAAATAACCCCACTCCCTCTGAAAAGAAGGTAAATTTTCCTTTAATATTTGAACTTTTCAAAGGTTAACAAATATTCAGCCATCATTCCAGTTCAGATACCTGTTACCTTGATAGAATCTTATCTGGTCCAATAAATCTGAAGGCTGTAACACAGAGGCATATCTCTCCCTTCCTCTTTTAAGAAGTTAAACCATGTTCCTGTTGATAAATGCATCAGGATTCGCAGAGCGTGGGTGCACGATATTGTTTACTAGCCACTTTTATTGGCATTCTGGCAAAATCATTTTTCAGTTTCTTAACTTTGTCATATTTTAAAACAGAGGTAACTGCAAACTTGAAAGAATTATATCTTATAAATGGCTACAATTAAACCATACTAAATGTACTTTTTTTCTTTTTCATGTTCTTAGAGTTCAATGAAGTAATTGGAAGGATTTTGTCCGCTCATAACAGTGAATGTCCCAAAGCAGTGAAAGAGGCGTTTGCTATTCTTGTGCAGATGCTGAAACGTCGGAAATACTACAGTAAGGTTAAAAAGGATTTCAGGTAAGTGGACTGGTTTGTGTGAAAGAGAGTATTTGCTTAAATATAGCCTGATATTTCCTTAAATTTACACTATTTATGTCATTTTCTTATGTTAAGGCTAGTTACATGAAAAGAAAGGGAGATTTTGAACAGTTTAGTTCCTTTTGAGTATTATTTATATTAGCAATTTCTAGATCATATAAGAAGCATGGCTGGGACCTCTGTGGATACTTTTAAGTCTGGTGGGAGTGCAGATCAGAGGGCAGGAAAGAGTGGATACTACCCTTGGGGTCCTCTGGCAGTCAAGGGGCACCATAAAACACTTCCCCTGGAAAGGAGAAGCAACTCAAGAGGAGCAGAGGCCCTGAAAACAAATCTTGTCATTTCTGTGAAAAAAAGAATGGCGAGGTTTTCCACAAAGTTTCGACTATAAAAATATACTGTGGTATTGGAGCATTTCAGGAACTGAATAAAAACGTTTTTGTGTTTGGATTTTTTCCCCCTGTTGAATAAGGCAGCCTTTGTTGTTTAAGATCTAGACTAGAGATTTCTTTAATAGTGGTTGTTGATGGTAGGTTAGGTGCCGTCCAGTTGGTTCCAACTCATACTGACCCTGTGTACTACAGGATGAAACACTGTGTGGTCCTGCATCATGCCAACAATCCTTGTTATTCTAGAGCCCGTTGTTGAAGCAGCTGTGTCAATCCATCTTGCTGTGGGTCTTCCTCTTTTTCACTGACCGTCTGCCTTCCCAAGCATGATGTCCTTCTCCAGGGACTCATCCCTCCTGACAACATGTCCAGAGTATGTACGACGTAGTCTCACCATCCGTCCTTCTAAGGAGCATTCTGGTTGTTCATCTTCCGAGACTGATTTGTTCCTTCTTTTGGCAGTCCACGGTATATTCAATATTCTTCTCCAACACAATTCACAGGCATCAATTCTTGATGATAGTGGAGGATGTTCTTTTCTGAAAGTAGGAGAGTCTCCAGGAAAGTGGATTTGGGAAAAGTAGATAAACTATAAATGAAGCATAAGAAATGATGACATTTGCCTTTACCTGGAAGAATGGAACAATAGATGAAGTGGGAGAGGGGCATTCAAAGGCATTACATCGTTTACTCTTAGTAGTACTTAGACTAGAAGTGAAAAAAAAGAGACAGTGAAAGCCTAAAGATTAATATCATACCAGGCCAAGTATTGAAGAATGGGTGAGGGGAAATTTTGGAACCTTCAGAGAATTTGATGGGACGAACACAATTTTGCTTGAAGGTCTCATATTAACCATATTGTTGTTAGCTGCTGTTGACTCATGTCGACCCTATGCACAACCAAACAAAATGCTGATCTTTCCTGTGCCATCCCATGATTGGATGCAAATTGGACAGTTGTGATCCATAGAGTTTTCATAACCATACTCACCTTCTTTAGCTTCCCAGGTGCTAAATTACCATGTTGATAAAACTCTCCAGCAGGGAGAGCTATCACCTTAAGTTTCCCTTTTTTGGACTCTAAGGATCATCAGACAGTCAACAGTCAAATTAAAAGCTTTTATGTTTCTGCAGACTTATTGTTCTCTTGTTGTTGCCAGTGGCCTTCGAGTTGATTCAGCTCATGGAGACCTCACATGTGCAGAATAAAACTGCTCCATAGGGTTTTCGAGGCTGTGAACGTAAGTTAATGAAATAATTTAGGTCTCTTCATCATGGCCTTCAGTATGAATTACACCTCAACAAAAAGATAGCACAAATCCTCACAACTGGACCAATAAGCAACATCATGATAAATGAAGAAACTACTGAAATTTTCAAGGTTTTCATTTTACTTGGATCCACAGTCAACACCCGAGGAAGCAGCAGTCAAGAAATCCAACTACATATTGCATTGAGCAAACCTGCTGAAAAGACCTCTTCAAAGAGTTGAAAACCAAAGACGTCACTTAGACGAATAAAGTGCCCCTGAACCAATCCATTGTATTTTCAATCTCATATGCATGCGAAAGCTGAACAATGAATAAGGAAGACCAAAGGAGAATTGACGCCTTTGATTTAAGGTGTTGGTGAAGAATATTGAATACACCGTGGATTGCCAGAGGGACAAATAGATCTGTATTGGAAGAAGTACAACCAGAGTACCCCTTAGAAGGGAGGATGAGGAGACTTTGGACATATTATCAGGAGTGGCCAGTCCCTGGAGAAGGACATTATTTTGGTAGAGGGTCATCGAATAAGAGGAAGACCCTCAATGAGATGGATTGAGCTACTGGCTGCAACGATGGGCTGAATCATAGCAACAATTATGAGGATGGTACAGGATCCAGATGTTTTTCTTTCTCTCCTACATTGGGTCGGGATGAGTCAGAACCTACTTGATGGCACCTAACAACAAAAATCATGGCACTAGATTGGTTGTGATTCTAATGAGATGGAAGCAGTGGCTTTCATCCTCACCTGCTCTCTTCTGTCAATGAAGATCTACTCCAGGCAAAGGCCTCACAAATACCACATTTGTCCACAAGGGGGCGGGAGAAGATCATATAAAAGGGGTAAGTGACATCTAATACCTTGCATGGGAAATCATATCAACACAATTGGCCAATGGAAAGTAGAGACATATGTTTCTTTTAAATCTAAATCATTCAGATTTTATTATGTATAAATTTTAAATGCTGTTTAAGGAAGAAAGTCTTCAAACTTTAACTATCAATTATAGTTTACCTTCAGACTGCAGAATTAACCTTGGGCACATTTGTTACTACATATTCTAACATGCCACTAACTCATTAATGGATAATTTTTTAAAGGCTTTTCCATTTATTTTGCTTTTCTGTTTGCTTCATTTTTCTGTTAATGTTCTTCGAGGGTTTCAATCCACTATAAGCGTCTCCTGGGAAACTCTGCCTGTTTGCTCCATGAAAGTCTAGTCAGCTGACCTGTGTGAGCCAAAACTTTCAGGGAGAGTACCACCTGCTCCAGTCCTGAACCCTTCCTGATGTGCATGCAAACACTAGGGACACAGCTGCTTCTCTGTTTGATTCTCTGCCAAGACACTGAAACGCATCACCCTCGGGCTCAGCAGGTCCCCCTGCCTCAAAGTTCTTCAGGTGCTCAGACTGTGACATCCCCTCCCCTGTACCAAGAATGGAATGGAAGTTTCCACAACTCTCTTGGCTTCCTAATTCTGAGCTCCAAGTGTAGAAACTCCTGCCAATACACTCTCACCCCACCCCCAGCCTGAGCTAGAATCTGATTCAGGCTTAGTTTACACTAAAAGCATACTAGGTGAGAAACCCTGGACCAGGGCTCAGAAGAGTGGGTTATAGAGCTACTATGTTTGTGTGACTTAAACAGCTGAAGTTCTTTGCTGCAGAAACATTTCTGAATCTTTCTATGGGCCTCAATGAAACTTTCTTAGCTTTTCTACCCACCATTTATGCTCTCTCCTTTTACTTCTTTCTCTTCTCACAGCCATTCCTCCATTCTAGCTGTAATAAAACATTCAAGAGACACATGACATACTAAGGCAACAATCCTCAACCCTAGATAGAGGTTACACTATAGGATGCTTTCTTAATATACAGAACTCGGCACTCCCTCCTCCCAGCACAAACCTACCGGATTAGACATCATTATTTCTAGAAAGCTCAAGGGCACATAAGCAGGTTGACAACTACGGAAGAAAGGGAAAAGATTCAAGAGACATGCACTCCTTGTAAAATGAAGTCTTAACTATCAAGTCAATACAAGGAAGGCAAAGGTAACTACACCGAAGAAGGGAAGGCTTGCAATAGGGTGAGTTAGATCTTTTCTCCTCACTAACTACAACTGACATATATATATATATATATATAACTTTTTTTCTTTTGTATTTTTCTTCCTTTTTTCCTCTTTCCTCCTCCTCCTGGGTGGAGAGGGGAGACAAATGAATGTCAGAGTGAAGACACCTGGGTTGGGCTGGGCTGGGCAGGACTGGGGGGACTTCATGATAACAGGAGGCTGAAGATTGCAGGCAGAGTGAGAAGCCCTGACACTCCAACTTGGCCACTGGCACCCCAGACTGGCAGAGCACAGAGGAAGCTTTCCAGGGGCATGGCATCTGTTCTCAAGGCCCTGGGCAATATTGCTAAGTGAGAAAATTTCCTCTCAACAACCTCCGTCCTTCCTGCAAGCTAAAGTCCTTTGCCTCTTAAATATCTGCACTTGCCAAAGTCCCTTCCCTCCACAATTATCCCCTCCTTCTTCTAATTCATCAGAGAAAAACCTATTCCCTAAGACCTAATTACTGATAAGACATAAAACCTATTTGATACTTGGTAATTGGTTGCTTTTGTCATATGTGAGGTAATATGTATGATCAGTGTCAGCATGCAAAAATGTCCCTATAATATCTTACTAGAAGTGGATAAATTAAACTATTTTAGAATCTTGATTACATATTTATCATTAGCTGAAATGATAAATGTATATATATACATATATAGGTATACATACATATACAAGTTTGTTAATAGAGAATTTCATGGAGCTGAATATTTCTAAAGAAGGTCCATAGTAATCAGTAAATTCATAGATTCCCAGAAGCTACTCAGAAAGCCCCAGGCTACACCCTCACTTTCACAGATGATTCCACAAAACAGAAAGCTTAAGTGATTTTGCTCAAAATCACAGAAGAAGCATCAGCACCAGGACACAACTGAGGTATCTGGCTTTCAATCTAGTGGAATTTCTAATCAAAGTCATCTCATCACACACATTGAAGTGTAGCAGAGTTAATTCTTAACTCATTGGAGGTTTTGTGGAACTTGACTGTTTAAGTGTAACTTACTGTTGTAATGTAAGTGTAGTTATCAAGCAAAACTACTTGTTATAAAAGCTACATGGTGATGCTTTTTTATGTAGAAGTCACAAATACCACATTACATTTTCCTTCTTCCCTTTCTCCTTCTTCTTCTTTCTTTTCTTCCCTCCCTCCATCTTTCCTTCCATCCACTCATCCATCCACCCATACATCCATCCATTCAT